CTCTCTCTCTCTCATGTTATGGCGAGCTGCCATGAGCAGCTGAACCCTTTCCTTGGTGAAGGTAAGCTGAAGCTTTTGGAAATCAAAGATTTTGAGGTGCTTCAACATTAATGCAAATCGGTTTGTTTATTTCAAGAATTGAACTTTCTTCTATGCTTATTTTCATGATTATTTAGGTTAATTTCTAATGTATACGGTTAGTTTATTAACTTAGATAATCTATAACTAGATCGAATATTGAATCCGTAATTGTTCAATCCCTTTGATTTGTGTAGCAACTAGGAGTGTATGATTTGTTGTGTCGAAACTAATGACTCTTAGGAGGATTATTCAACTAGATTAAATACAATTACATGTGTTGTGTTGTCTTGCTTTGTTGATCTTTCTAATACATAAAGTCATTGTTTGATTAAATATTAGATCGTATCTAGGGTTGTTAAATAATGAGAGTTGATTAGAATACATGTTTCTAGTTGGCTAATCGTAAGGAAAGATTGATTTCAATATCACAATAAATATTTATATAGGAATCGATATTTCTTGCACCAAGGATAAATCTCAAGTTTCAAAAGTGGATGTGACCCGAACCAAGGTTTGTTTACTTGAATATTTATTTTAAACTCGTTTTCTGAATTTAATTTGTTTAGTTTTAGTTATATCTCAATCAAACCAAAACCCCTCTTTTTATTTATTTCATGTTTCTTCTAGACTTGTGATGACTAATGCGATTGAATTCCTCGTGGGATCGATCCCTACTCTCCCTTACTACATTTGTGTTGTAGGAGTTTAGGAGTTTAATTTAGGTGCACACAACGAGCATCACACCAAATTTTGGTGTCGTTGTTGGGGAATTCACGATTGTTTATGTACGTTACAAGGTCTAGCGAGCTGAAAACCTACTTTTTAACCTAGAAATAGAACACACGACAAGAAGCTTTAGGAAAGCCACACGAGCAGCAGCGTGCCCACGCTATTACTCGGTAGACAAAACGATAGAACGAGCAACCAAGCACATGTTGAAATCATGGAGAACACGACATGCAAATAAAACACTAAGAAAGCTTGCGCCCTCGATTTGGATCAGCAACCTCACTGCATCAACTTTTCTAACTTTACTACCAACACTACTTTTGAATTGAAATCTGGACCGATACATCTTTTACCTAGCTTTTGAGGATCAATGGGTGAAGATCCTCACAAACACTTGAAAGAGTTCCATGTGGTGTGCTCAAGTATGAAACCGAATGGAGTCACCGAAAAGCAGATCAAACCGAGGGCATTCCCTTTCTCTTTGAAGGATGATGCCTAAGATTGGCTCTAATACTTACTGCTAGGAGCATAACTACTTGGCATGAGATGAAGAGGTTGTTCTTGAAAAAATTCTTTCTAGCCTCGAGAGCGACCAAGCATAAGAAAAGAAATTTATGGCATTAGGCGACATAATGGAGAATCGTTATATGAATATTAGGATCATTTTAAAAAGCTTCGTGCAAGCCGCCCACACCACCAAATCACAAATCGAGTTGCTCATCCAATACTTTTATAAAGGACTTTTACGATCGATTGAAACATGATTGATGCAGCAAGTGGTGGTGCTTTAGATGACAAAACACCTGAAGAAGCTGAACTTTGATAGTAAATATGGCATCAAACACACGAGCAATTTGGAACCGGATCCGACTATGCCACTCGACGAGTAAATGAGGTAAGTACTTTTTTCTTTGAAAAGCGTTTTGATGACCTTACTACTCTTGTACGTCAATTGACAATAAGAAAAATAGAAATAGCAAAGGCTTGTGGAATTTGTTCGGTGGTAGGACATGCAACGGACATGTGTCCAACTCTCCAAGATGATAACCTTGAACAAGCAAATGCCACTCGTAGGTTCCCAAGACTGCCACAACAAAATTATAATCCTTTTTCCAACACATACAACTCGGGTTGGAGGGATCACCCCAACTTTCACTATGGCACTGCCCCAATGAATCAATCCGCTAATAATTTTTAGCTATTCAAGTAATAGATGCCGTCTAGACAATGACCACATACTCAAACTTCGATTCGGGTATGTCTCTTGAAGATATTATTAAAAACCTTAGTTACTAATACTCGTGAAATTTTAGCAAGAGGCAAAGAATAGCATTCAAAACTTGGAGCATCAAGTGGGCCAATTGGCTAATGTCGTCAGCAGAATCGAAGCTCAAAATTCGAGCAAGCTACCCTCACAAACAATGGTAAATCTAAAAAAAATACGAGTGCGATAGTCTTACGAAGTGAAAAAGAGTTGGAACCACCAAAGAAAGTACCAACTGCACCGATACAGACAGACACATTGAAGAAGAAGAAGGGGTGACAGAACAAGCCTCTCAAAAGAAGGAAGAAACGACGAGTAAGTCCTCACCATCACCAAAAGGTAGAGTCCCCCTCCTTTCTCTCGATGCTTTAGTTTGCACTTGTAATTTTAAAAGCAATACCGATTTATATGAAACATTCCAAAATTGTGTGGTGAACATTCCACTACTTGGATGCAATTAAACAAGTCCCTCACTATGCCAAATTCTTAAAAGAATTATGTACAATGAAGAGGAAGCAAAGGCTTACAAAATGAGAGAAAATTAAGGTAGGTGAAAATGTTTCGAGCAATCATTCAAAGAAACCTTCTTGAGAAGTGCAAGGATCCGGGTATGTTTTGTATTCCATGCACAATAGGTGATGCCGACATTAAAAAGGTCATGCTAGACTTAGGAGCTTCCATCAATGTTATGCCATACTCCATATACATTACTCTTAACCTTGGACCTTTGGAGGAAACAAATATTGTCATTCAATTAGTTGATAGGTCCACTTGTTCATCCTAAGGGAGTAGTTGGGGATATGCTTGTGCAAGTTGATGACAAACTGATTTTTCCTGTCGACTTCTATATTCTTGACATGGAAAATGATGATAATGCGGCACAAATTTTGCTAGGTAGGCCTTTCTTGAAAACTGCTCGAACGAAAATTAATGTCTACAATGGTACCTTAACTATGGAGTTTAATGGTAAGATCATAAAGTTTAATATCTATGATATAATGAATTATCCTGATGTTGATTATCCTTTGTTTCGGTTGATATAATTGATTCTCTAGCACAGGATATGTTCAAAATTGATGGCAGAGATGAGTTGGAGGTATTCAATCGTGAGTACCTTTTTAAAAACAAGTAGTGAGTTGCAACTCGAGTCCGAAACAAAGGAGGCCATGGTCGAGATGAACAAATTTGAGGAGTTGAAAGGCTCCGACAGCGTGTCTTATATTGAGCTTTCGATACCTATCGAGCAGCTTCGACCATCCGTGTTGCAAGGCCTAACTCGAAGCTAAAACCTCTCCCGACCATCTCGAGTATATATATCTCGGAGAGGAAGAGACACTACCTACCATTATCTCAAGCAAGCTTCAAAAGGAACAAAAGGACAGACTTGTACAAGTGCTGAAACAACACGAAGACAACGAATAGGTTGGATCATTGCTGATATAAAAGAAATCGGTCCCTCTATATGCATGCATCGAATCTTGTTAGAAGAGGAAGTCAAGCGGATTCGCCAACCACAATGGAGATTGAATCCACCCATGATGGAAGTGGTGAAGAAAGAAATTCGAAACTACTTCGAGCGAGGGTAATTTACCCAATTTCGAACAATGCATGGGTGAGTCCAGTACAAGTTGTCTCCAAAACGACCGGTATCACGGTGGTAAAGAATCATAATGGATACTTGGTCCCCACCGGAATTCAAAACGGGTGGCGGGTGTGTATAGATTATAGAAAATTGAATGCAATAACCCGCAAGGATCATTTTTCCTTACCCTTCATTGATCAAATGCTTGAAAGGCTTCATTGGTCGTGCTCACTACTACTTCCTAAATAGTTATTCGGGTATTTTCAGATTGCTATAGCTCCGAATGATCAAGAGAAAACCACATTCACATGCCTTTCGGCACTTTTGCTTATAAACGGATGCCATTTGGAGCATGCAAATGCACCAACCACCTTCCAACAATGCATGGTCAGCATATTTTCAAATTATGTAGAGCATATCATAGAGGTCTTTATAGACGACTTTACGGTCCATGGAGACTTATTTGATAAATGTCCGCATAATTTAACTTTAGCGTTGCAAAGATGCATTGATGCAAATCTTGTTCTAAATTATAAAAAATGTCATTTTCTTGTAGAACAAGGCATTGTATTAGGACACATTGTTTCAGTTAGAGGGATAGAGGTAGATAAGGTAAAAATTGATGTTTTTGAATCCTTACCCTACCCTACTAGTATGCGGAAAGTCCGTTCTTTTCTTGACCATGTAAGTTTTGACAAAAAAAAAATAATAACTAGCCTCCTTTGCCCAAATAATAATAAAAATAAAATAAAATTTCAGTAATGGACATGTACTCATTGTCCAGCAAGTAACCACGCAAACATAATAAATCTCCATTATCATAACTTGCAGTAAATTGTAAATTAGTACTTTTATTTTTGAAAAATAAATTAATTATTCATTTTGTTTTAAAAATATTTTTGTTTAATTTTATTTTATTTTATTTTAAAATTTTCAATTTTTAAAGTCCATTCTTATATATTTTTACTTATTTTTTATACTTCTTAAAATAAAAAATCAAAATAAATTATAAAAAATGAAAAGATTAAATTATTAAAAAAATTAAAAAATATAAAAATTAAATAATTAGTTTTTAAAACAAAAGGATCAAATTAATTTGTTTTTATATTTTTAAAATAAAATATCAAAATAAATTAAAAGGAACCAAAAGATTTACAAAAAAATTTAAAAATATATAGATTAAATAATTAGTTTTTAAAACAAAATAAACTAATTAATTTGTTTCTTAAAACTAGAGAGACTAATTTATAATTTACTCTCATAAGTTGCTTTTGGGTTCCATTTAGTAATTAAAAATACAAAAATCCCTGAAGTAAAGAGAAAGACGGAGAAAAGGGCAAAAAAATGCTAAGGACGAGATTGGTGTGGTTCACTGTGGGATTTTCGGTATCAGCAGCTGCAATTTCACAATTCGTTTGGAGAGACCTTTTGAGTCAAAGATATGCCCTTTCTTCTCACGTATGCCTTTCTCTTTTCTTTTCTTTTCTTTTTTTTTTTTCCATAATTGGTTTTTTCGTTCTTTATTATTTATTTATTTTATTTTTATTCAGACGAACCAGAAATTTGAGGACCTTGAAGCTAGAGTCCTGAATCTGGAGTCTATTTCTCCCAAGATTTCCAATCAAACCACCCAGGTTCGTCTATTCTTTTATATTTGTTTTTCTTTTATTGTAACTGTTTTGTCAAGTGGATTTAAAATATATAGGATACCCACGAAACAATATTTTGACAAATTGAAAGAATTTTTACTCTCATATCAAAAGAATGATGGGTTTTCTATTTGTGGTCTTTTGAAGTTTGATGAAGTGAAAAATGTGTTGATTGTATAATTAATAGTAGTAATTTGGGATTACAAATATGCTAATACTCTGGCTATTTGTAGCATGATATTAGCATCAATCATGCAGTGATACTGGGTAGTTTAGCTACGAGCTTGATTACTATAATTGCAATGTGGGTTGTCTGGTTTGAGAAAAGGGATTTGTTTTCTCGTAATGGAGTGATTACACATGCTTTACCAATAGCTTTGTGGAATAGGGTGGACTTCCGTCCACCCTATGTAGCAGGTTTGGGATTAGTTAAATACTATGAACGGTATTCTTGCTGATACTAATAGTGAGGAGAAAAGGATGACATTGATTATGACTTAGATGGAATAAATTTGATTAAGCTGAACCAGTTGATGTTGTTTACACCCTCCATTCGGTTCAGTTGCAGACGAAACTTTCTGTATGATATTGCAATGCTAGATCATATTCCTCATCGCCTTAGCCCACATCATTTTTCAGCCATCCCCCTTACCAAAAAAATAAAAAAATAAAAAATAAAAGAAAAAACAATTTTTGATGATCGCTTTTCTTTGCTTGGTGAGTCAGCATCCATAGTCAATGTTGTATGCATCCAAACCATCTTTGGAAACTCTAATTTTAGGTTGTCCTCAGTAGGTGCTCCCTCCACCTTCCCATGGATGCGCTTGTTTCTTATCTAGTCATTTCTTATGTTAACACGCTTCCGTTTTGACCTTCCTACCTATGATACATTTTTGGAGTATGGCTGTTTTCCACTGTACAACACTCATTACCACGAAGCATGGCTTGCCTAACTACAGTTACATAAAATTTACCAACCTGCTGTGGATTTTTTTATCGTGTAACAATCTAATTGTGCTTCCCCATTTGAACCGCTCGGCCATGGTTCTATGGGTAATATGCTCCTTGGTGTTCCCTAAGCATTGGAAATCGCTGCAGCCTAGAACCTCTACTTTATCAATACTAACAGTGTACTTATGTTACTGATTTTACAAATGCATATACCTGAGTGTCGTTTATCCCTGGCATTACTCAGCCAATATGAGCATCATTAGCAATAAAAATATTCTTACGTTCATGTTCTTGCTGTGTTGCACCACTTTTCCATACTTGTAATCTCTTTTGTTCTACGTTTCACCTGCAGTATCTTTAAGGGGAAGGAGAATTTCTAGTTGATTGACAAAGAGTTGACTTTTCTAATTCAATATGTGGTGTCTGTACTTCACATTTGAGTAGAGTTGTTTACTGATTGCATTCTACTTTTTATCAATGGCAGGTTGACAGTTAGATTTATCGCGGATGTCATGGATTAGAGATATTTTTCCTGTTTGTCATTCCTTGCTTTGAGTATGAGAATTCCTGTTGATGACTTGGGAGTAATACTACTTCCTAGAATCATCTTCTTGTAGGAGATTCGACTTTGAAATAATAAACTTCGCTTCCAACTTTTCTGCAATTTTAAATAGCGGGAAGGTCTTTGAATATTGTTTTTGACCTCCCATGAATGTTCTTAATAAATGGAATCATTGTAGTATTGAGAGCTAGCACTGCTGGTAGTCAGTCCCAAGCTAGCTTTATTTGCGTCCTGGATGAAAAATGGGAAAGAGACTGGCTGTAGTATAAAAAGAAAATGGAGAACACTGAGCAATAAGATCCCAAAAACGAGGTGCTTGTGGGTGGGAAAAATGTGTTATATGTATGATTATGGAATAACAGCAGTTCTGGATTCAGATTCGTCATTTGATGAATCTCTATGTAAATAAGCTCTTGACCAAACTCTCTCTTTTTATAAATAGTTCAAGAAACAGAATGGAGCTTCTTCATATATAAGCTGCGAGATTTGCGATAGCTAAAACTACTAACGAAAGAAAATTAAGCAATCTATTAAACTCCTTACTATTATCCACTGACAATGAACCTAAAAAGTTACTGTTGTTTCAATCATTTGGACAGTCAGAATCCCACTGCAGCTAAGCATTCGTTTGTTGGAGGGACAGGCTTCCCAGTGATAATGAGAGAGTCAGTATAAATTACAGGCATAACCAATAAAACTCCTCGCAGTACTTGAATGTTGGTTACAAATGTAACTAATACATTCAGATCTGACTAAAAGATCCAAACTTGAGGACAACAGCCAGAAAGCATAGATCAAGGTTTCATCTAATGGGATGGTGGGGGAAGGATGTTGCTGGCAAGCTCTTCATTCAAGTTCACTGGAAGCCGGGGCATCTGCTCCATTGTCTCTGGCATGTCATTTAAGCTGCAGAACTTGCTAAAATTAGAAACAGGAATTAAGTTCCACATCTAATAGCACTACGCTGTGTTGCTGTAGAATTGCAACCAACTTCCTTGCAGTCGAGGCAAGGGCACACACCTTCCCACACGTGTGTGTGCACATGACAACCCTATTAAATAACTTGAAGCAAGGATTCTATACCCCAAAACAAATAAACAAATTTAACCCGGCATATGACAACTAATCATGAGAAACTACATTATCAAAGTTTTGTTTGAGGTGTATTTGCCAGTTCCTTTTGCCCTTATGCTGCTCATACCTTTCTCTTTCTTAATTTCTTCATGTTCTGCACAGAAATCAATATTCTTTTGTCCCAATTCGGACTGAATCCACCTCTCAAACTTCGATATTAGGCTTTAATTTAATTACCAATTCCTTCAAAAACCAATCCCTGGAAATCGCCACTTTCATTCATGTCAATCCTAATCTAAATTTTGACCAAACTACTGCAGTTTTTAGATTACTATGGATATTCTATGCTATAACATTCAGAGGGCAACTAACTAGAATAATGTGTTTTCTCCCTCGGTATGTGGCCCTGTTCCATCTCTCTCTCTCTCTCAAGAATTCACCCTTGCTTTTCCTTTATTGCCTCTTTAATATACACTTTAGTTTCTTTCAGACAAATATTACATGGCATCCCTTTCCAACCCAAACCCTTGTCACCTTCAAGCCTTTCACAGTAGGACTTTAACAGCAATAAACGACATGATAAAGAATAGGTTGACCAACCACATTGCTGCATCATGAAGTGCACATGTTAAAAGGATACCAGATGGTCAAGATATGCATACAAGCACAAGGTATGGAGCTATGCCATACAGCAAAATAATCTGTCGAGAATAAATTGAGGTAAGAACGTACTCATTCAAGAGAGCAAGGATATTCTCCCGACTTTTACATAAAAGACTGATATTATCATGTATCTGCAAGAAAAGATTAAAATTGATATAATCATGCATCTGCAAAAAAAAACTAAATGAAAAATGCTGGCATAAATCATCCACTAAGCAGCTTTTGATTTTAATGATGTTGCAACAGTTTCCACACATGGTAAAGCAATAGGATGGCATGCTTATCAGTAGATTGGTGTGATTAGCGAGCTCACTGTAAATTTGTCTCGAGTCACTCCAAGCATCATATTGTGTGGATCAGACAAACAACAAGATGGGATCATCTAAAACAATCTCCAAAGTCATATCATTAACAAGTGAATATTTATCTTATAATGTAAGAACGCAGCGTAACAAAGCAATTTATTTAATGACTCCTAAGTACCTCAGCTATCATGGCTCTGATCCAACAGAAAAACAATCATTTATGCACAATGACCTCTATGGATGACAATTAGTCCCTACCAATTTGCACAATTGCACTACAGAAAGTGGCAAGATGTGCCTAAGAAAAAAAAACAATCCATTGCAACATTCACAGGGTCTGACTGTTCAGCTTTAGCAAAAATGGACAACTTCCAACATATATATAAATGAGATCCTCTCAAAATTCAACAATGTCATCACAGAGACAAAACACCAGAGAACACTTCGATGTTGACCACAAACACGATTTACTTCCAAGTTGAGGCAGAAGAAATTGAATGAAACAATTTCAAATAACAAAAACCATACCGATCTCATGCTCCTTTACGCTGCAATTTCATGTTGTAAAAGCACGTGGTTGAAAAAGAAAATCAACAAGGAAAAAAAAACCAAAGCAAAAGTAAAGAGTAGCAATGGTCATTGAGAACATAACAGGACATGATACTAAAATTATCTTAAGTGATGATGACTGGTTGGCACTGATTAGGTTCAAGTATCTATACATCACCTGAAAAGATGCAAAATTTGAAGAAATTTGACTCAAGATTTGAGCATTTTTCTCGAGAAGTTCTCCTGTTTCACCACCAATATCTGCAAATGACAGATTATCTGTAAGTAAAAAATGCAGTAATGAACATAAATAGAAAAATAGCACATATTACCCATGTTGTTAATAACAATTTAATAGCACATGCTCATCATTCATGTATTTAACTCAGTAAATTCAACCACTACTCAGACAGAAGTATAATAAAGACCATGAATGTATTTCTGCACCATACAAAATTAGCATTGGTAAGAAAAACAAAGTCTCATTCTGTAATTGTTAAAACCTTATTTATGTCTTTTCAACTCACTAAGATAACATAGGCTCTCGGTTGCATTATATCTCAGTTTGTGTCCCAGGAAGCATGCAATTACGAGAAGAGGTAAACTTGCCTAAATCCTCCAACCTTGTGACATAAATGAGTTGAAGTGAACCATCAGGACAATGGATGCACTTAGCTCAAACCAATTCTATCAGTATTCTTTTATTATAATTGTTTGAGAAAATCATTGTTTTCCCATCTTGAAAATGATTTCCTATAGCTAGTGGCATTAGAGAAACCTGCCAAACGTGTTGTCTCTAGCTTGAAGGCTTTTTAACAACTAACGACCAGCCAGTTGCTAATTCCTATTGGTATGGCAATCACTATCTTGAACTCTTTTTGTCATTTCAGAGAATTCAAGATAATATGTATTCAGAAAGCAAATCTTTATTTTGAATAATATCATTCAGCAGATTGAATGCTGTACATAGCAGTTTTAGAAATCTGAGGACCATATAGAAATTGGTGGAAGACTCCTACAAAGAATCATGTTAATTAGAGGTCGATATCGAAAGGCTAAATTTCTTTTACACCAACAGCCAACAGTAGAAAGAGTGAATGGTACAACCAAATGAGGAAGTGACCAAATAATGCAATTGAAGTTCCACATACATCTAAGTGCCACATTTCCGCCAAAATCTACTCAGCATTAATAACTGGAACAACTAAAGAGGCAGTTTACAGTTTCAGGAAAACATCATAAGACAACCGTATTAGTGTATGCATTTCCAATCATGAAATCTCCATGATTTTGGGATTATAATTCAAATTCTGAAATTAGTAGTACTCAGCAAAATTGTAATAGATAATAAAATAATGAGCTATCCTAAATAATAGCACCATCAGTTTGGTATGAGTAAAATGCAATAATGCATGAAAATGAACAGTATTTTTTATCACCCACTTTTCTATGTTCCTAATTTGTCCAAAACCAAACCAACCTTTGTAAGAAACGCCGTCATCATTGTCTATGGGAATAATTGGTGGAGCATACGAAGGGCCGTTCGGACGAGTTGTCAGATGAGATGATGACTTCGTTGAAGAATCCGTTGCCTTTTCCTGTGGAACATATGTCAATGTTAATTGGACTTTTGAATAATAAAAAGGCATAGAAAAAACTACATTAGTAAAATTAATAGAATAATAATTAGTATAAATCAATGATCAGGTTGAGGTGATAGAGGTGGAAGCCAACGAGAAGCTTTATATAAAATACACACAACAGCCCCATCATCATCCAAAGTCAAAAGAAACAATAGAATGCACTATTGCAGAGCATAAAGCAATCATGACTCTTTTTATGACTATAATCCCACATACACACTTTACATAAAGTGCTATTGACCGTCTCAGACACATGTCAATGGCTGAAACTTTTCCAACAATCAAAACTCTAGGCAAATGTTGTATGCATGCATTTGACAATGGGTATCCAAAATTCTTGTGCCTCAATGTGTGCAACATAAGAAGTGGATATATAAAATATATCTGCATGAGCACCACTACATTTTTGGTCTCTCTAGGAACCATCGATGTAGCTCCAACCTAAGACGTGGATTTATGAAATGTAATTCTCTCTTTGTTGAACCAAAGAGAAGAGAGGTTCTTCCCTCACCGATAAGCCTGGGCGCCTACTATATTATTAGTAACAAACTTGACAATTTAATCCATGGTGGCAGAATAACATAGCAAGCCAAGGAGCTCCCAATTTGCATTTGACCAATAAGATAGACCTACAAACAAACTCTACCAACTACAAACAATGGTATTAAAAAGCCAAGCAACTAACTCAAGAGCTCTTTCTCTACCCACCCAAATCAGGTCTTAAGATAATCAAGCAGTTTTCTTTTGGCTTTCGGTGGAAACTGTAAGTTAAGGAATTGATCCCGTCCTTGCATGCCCTTGAGTGACAGAATGGCTGAATCCACTGCCCAGAAAAAATCATGTGACTGGAAAATATACCATGTTACTATGCTACCACATAGTTCTGTTTGTAATTGCTTGTAAATATGCTGCTATGCATGAACACAAAAGTAATGTTTGTTCCGGCGTTTCTGTTATGTTATCCACAAATTTTCTTGCCAGCATGCTTATATCCTGTTGTATTTCAGTGCCAGCATTGATAGTTAATTAAATACAGCATGAAACTTTATTTGACGGTTAGAGCATACCTTTCTATCCTTATTTTTCCTTGCTGAATGTTCTTCTTTCCTTCTCTTGCCATTTTCCTTTTTCTGAAAATACAAATATAGCAAATTAGACTAATTAATATACATAGCACACTAAATGTAGCTTTTTTGTGCATGTATTCAGTAAGCATCTACATTGGCTATCAATCACATTATTAAAAAAAAAAAAAAAAGAAATAAATCTATTCCTTTTCCCAGAAAAAACTTTAGAAAAGAAAAGAGAAGAATGTAAAAAGGATAAGACGTCCTTCAAGAGAGGTTACAAAACAAATGTTGGGACAATGCCCTGAAACAAATATCTACCGAAATGACCATTTCCATAATATCCCTCCCACATAGATCCCATGCTTCTCATCGTTCACACATCAATCCAATATATAAAGGTCCATGCTCTTTCTTGGTATCAATCCCACAATTTTATTTGTTTAACCAAGTTTCCATTTAGGGATGTCCCAAAATGTGTCCATTTTCCAAAAGAAGCACAAGGAAAAATATGATTGTCCAATCTTATCCTCGATAATTTGATTAATAACAACATCTCAAAACATATAGACTTCTACATTTCCAAGGTTTTTAAGAATTTTCACAGCAGACAATGCAATAAATGATGTTTTGATAAATAGTTGGAAATCCAAAAGTGGACAAACAAAATGGGACAGAGGGAGCATACAATTTTTTAGTATGGTAACTTATAGCACATCAAACTGAAAAGGAAAAATTGCATAGTCAATAACATCATAGAAAATTGCTTCAAAAACTCCAATATGTCGAATACTCCATAACTATAATGTGATATATACAGATTCTACAAATGCCAATCACTAAAATCCTTCTAGACCATACGAAGTTCAAAGTAATGCATTTCTCCTCCTGCTTCTTCTTTTTATTTACTTTTTAATTCTTTCATTCATTTGTTTATTTGTATTCGCAGAGAACCCTCGATGGTCAACTGCTAACTCAACCCACCATCCTTGAAACAACTCCACTTGGGTTGCAACTTACTTAGTTGAAGAATGGAACCCATTAAATAAAGACACAAGCCTCAGCACACATCCCAGGTCCAATCCCTTTCCACTAGACCAATCTGGAGGGGGCAGGGGTCCACAGCAAAATATCACCTCACATAGATATCTTACAATATTTCAGTAGTCATTGTTTTTTAAGCTCCCATAAATAAAGAGCTCCTACCTCCGTAATACCCCACTGCAACAAGGCATGGAGTGCATGTAAGGATATTGCATTGTTCTAGAATGCCTCCAACAACATCAGGCACTAGATTCCAAAGAGTTCTATTCGCTGATTGTTTCTATTATTACTAACACAACATTCATGTAAGTTTTTTTGCAATAAGACCAAACTAGTCATCATTGAATATCATCAAAACAAGATCCCAAAAGAAGGCACACGCATTTTAAAATCAAATGTATGCATCCTTCTTTTTGCCAGATACTTTGTTATCTTTCAACCTATAAAGCAGACCTAACCACAGAAAAATAGCTTCCTCGTTAAAACTCCATCTTCCCTAAAGTAGAGAAGCTACATCAATGATCTCAGGTAGAAGCTAAAATCAAGTCAATTTTACTCCCCGAAATAAACAAATGCGTCTGATATTATTTCTCCTGCCAACTTAAACCATCGTATTAAAGATGCTAAAACTATAGAACAATATGGCTGTTTCATTGGAAAAACAAAAATCCTCTTGCTATTTTACCAGAACCGACACAACTTTACTCATTTTCTCTTCAGCAATACAAGAAAACTAGTAATTTTCATCTTATTCGATCACACATCAGGAATCTAGGAAAACTATTCATTTTCCATTAGAGGTGAAACTAACTAGATGGGCTTCATCCAGATCCAATATGTTAAAGGGAGTTGCATGTAATCCTGTGATCTACTCAACTGGTGGTTTTCTATGGCATCCATGCCTTTCTCATACCCTTACACATTAAGCTCCTCACGAATTGATTAGTATAAGTCATATGCCTTTCCGTTTCCGAGCAGTTGACAGTCATTGACTTGATATTATTACCAACATAACCATTAGTCCCCCGGTACATGTTCAAAGAAGGGAATGAAGACTGTCAAAAGAGCTGGCTGGTTTAGCCAGCATTCCTACCCCGACTTTGGTTTCCAGGGATTCTTATTCGAAAGCAGGACATCTAGCATTTGATTGTTGAAAGAATCAACCATTCAAAACAGTTCTAAACATCTAAACGTTAAAGTTGAAATAATTAACCATTCAAATCGCCCCCATACAATGGACACTTACAGTCATCCACCTACAACGCAGTGCCACATCTCGAACAGTTTTGTCCTTTAACTTCATCGCAATCTTAGCATAGCGGACTAAGTTTGATTCTGATGCATATCTGCAAAAGATTATAAAACCATATCAATCAAAAAAAATGCACTTCCGTTTATATTAATGATTGAATTTGAAAATAAATAAATAAACCTAATTTACAAACTAATAAAACAAAAAACAACAGGAAATTCCAAAAAGAAAACAGAAAGGAATCTTACTTGGAAAGCAAATCGTCGAGAATGGACTGCTCATCGGGAGTCCACTCGACGGAAATACCAGGATCGTGCCTCAAAGACGACTGCGTTTTGGAATTCACGGCGTCTCCAGTTGAAAGGTTGTTAGTGTTACTACTAACCCCGTTGTTGGTCGAATTCACAGGAACGCCATTCGCCGTTGACGGAGATTTCTGAGACGCCGTAGCTTCCTGATTATTGTTGTTATTATCATTATTATTTGCACTAACAGCCATCACCATTAACCCACCAAATAAACAAACTGATTACCCCAAAACCACTGCTACTGCCCCTCTCCCTCTCCCTCTCTCTCTCTCTCTCTATCTATCTATCTATCTATCTCTATATCATTTATGCATACACAGGCTGACACGCAGTCTCTCTACAACGACAAATGGCTACAGATTGGAAGCAAGTGAATCATTCCATGCATGTAGAGTAGAGGAAATCTGTTTTTGTTTAAGCGGTAGTGAGTGAGAATTATTGGTTCTCGAAAATGGAATCTCTCTGGATTTGGGGTATTTTCTTTTGTACACACACTTAGTCCGTAACTAGTTAGGTATACAATAGTTAGTAATTGTATTCACTTTGAGAAGAGAGATAGACATATAAAAAAAGAGAATTATATCTATACTCATCAAAAGTGATAAGAAGATTTCTACGTCTGTTTAAATTTTTTTATTTTTTCTTTCTCTTTTTGTGTGTCTATCTCTCTCTTCAAAGTGAATTCGAAAGAATAACTATTGTATATACCACTGAGTTACTCCTTATGTATTATAAAATTTAACGATGCTGCTTTTGTTTCTTCCCTTTTTTTTTTTTCAAGCTTATATGCTAATAATTAATAACAATAATAATTTGTAACTGGAGTTGTTATGAGAAAAAAGAAAAAAAAAGCTTGTAACTTACTACATGTTTATTTGTTTCCATTGGGATATTTTCCTTATTGAAAAAAACAAGTTACGAGATCAAAATATTATGAAATTATCTTTATCATTAAATCATGATTCCACATCACGAGGTTGTCCATATTAAGCTGCCAATGGAGCAAAATAAACGAAATTATTTGAGAAAATTATTCTGATTCCATAGTCCTCGTCACAACGTCAGTCCAACAAAATATATTGAAATCAAAAGGAAAAAAATTCACTTTAATTCTATGATTTTCTTAATCAAACTGTTGTATTTAATTAAATTTCTCATATTCCTTTTAATACATTTCTTCTTAATATATATATATATTTCATAAGATTTTATCGTAAAAATAAAACAAAAATTAATGTAAATTTTCTAATTGAATGTTGATGAGAAAATTAATGTTTAAAAGTATATACATTAGGTTTATATATATTATCAAAATAATTAATAATATTAGTATTAAAAAAAAATTTCTATTTGAAAACTATGTATCATCATGTGTTTTTTTTTCAACATAATTTTAATTATAAAAAAAATAGTAAGTGTTAAGTGTTTTGTGTGTATATAAATATTTAATTTTCAACAAAAATCTATATAAAATTGATTTTAATAAATTTTGAATATATAAAAAAAAAACATGTAGATTCTAATTTCTTTCCTTATTAACATTTAATTTTGTTCCTAAACCATATGTGCTTGGTCTCTGTACATAGGCCTCTCACATGTAACAATCACTTCTCTACTTTTTTCACTTTTTATTTTTAATTATCAATTAATTAATTTAAACAAAAACTTGCGAAAAAATTTATACAAATTGAAGAGATAAATTTCGAATAATAAAAGTAATATAATTTAAAGTATATGGTAAGTTTGAAATATAAAAACACATCACTAATATTTCTTCATCGCTAGTTTGCGAAAAACTCAAAAAATATTTATGAGTTTTTCAAAATTTAAGCACGAAATCAAATAAGTAAATAAAAGACCCAAAACAAGCAACAAAAAATAATAATAATAAAATTAAGCTTGCGCATGCCAAGCCTTCACCCTGGGGCTTGATTAACCAGGCCCACGTGTGTACGGATTGGACACACATAAGCTGGCCCTTTTTTTTTTTTTTGAAGAAAAAAATAAAATGACAAATAATGCGTCACCTCCGCAATCCATTGGAGATGATGCGTTGGTCGGCTACAACTTTCGACAAAACTATGATTGTTAAAAAACCGGAGTACTATATTTCGACCTCTCGAAACCATTTTTGCCTAAAAAAACACCTCAAAAATCTTTGAAATTAGTACAAAAAACTTATTTTGGAACCTTGAAACTCATTTTAATACATTTAAAAAATTAAAAAAATCAAATCAAATTTAAAAACTCAAAAATATATTAGAATCTTGATCTCCTTCCTCTGATTGTTTCTTATCTTCAGACTATTATAAATAAACTCTCCTCTCTAAAATGAAAAAATCAAAGCCAATATTCATGATTGAAGTGGCTGGAATGGGCCTTGTTATGGATGAAACTAAGAATCAAAAAAAAAATTAAAAAAAAAAGAAGAGATCAAAGTGCAATGTTTGTCGAAACTAATATATCAAATGCATAAAGAAAGACCAAAAATCACAAACGAAAAAAAAAATCATATCAAATGCCAAAATAAAGGTCAAAAATCACAATAATATTAGTTGAATTCAATAATAGCAAGTGACTAATGCTTACGAACGTGGGTGAACGTGGGTGAAAAGTAAACGAACATTAAAATGAGTGTGGGAGAACATTGATGGAATAGAAATCGGTCCATTTTTTTCTTGTTAATAATATAAGTTTTTAAAATATCATGTTAGAAAGACATTCAAGTTAAACCATTAGTTAAGTGATCTGCAAATGAAGCTTTCTATTTATCTAACTTACAATAATGTTTTGAAAATAAAAAATAATGTGCAAGTTACATGATTAATTATAAAGACTTTGCTTGAAAATATTATCAAAAAGATAGATTAAAAACTTAATTTATATTTAATGATAAAATTGATTCAATTAAAGATATAATAACGTATTGAAAAATTACCTTCTTATATAAAGACATATTAAATTTTTAACCATAGAATTTGTCGTGTTTTTTCTTTTTATAAAAAAGCTTACATGAACTCTTTTATTTTTATTTTTTTTAAAAAAAAAACTAAACTTTAACTTATATAATAACATATTGAACGACTAATCCTAGAATCTGTCTTTTTTTAGGGATATTATAAGGCTTCTAGTTTGCTTATATGGTTTCAACATAAGCTTTTTCGTGTAACTAATTAAGTTAGTCGGTTGGATAATAGTTAGTTGGTTGATTTAGCTATAGTGGTTAGTTAAGAATTTAGTTTTCACTCTCTTAATATATAAGCTTAGTAGCTTCTCATGTGTATCTAACTTGAATATATTGTAAATTGTGTTTTCTTTTGATGAAATGAGAAGAAGTAGAGCATTTTTCATTTTTTATCAAACATGGTATTAGAACCTTATTGATAATTGGTCACAACTTTAAATCTCGTCATTCTTATTTCTCTTTTAAATAATTAAACACGAGAAAGTATTCGGCACATCACATTTAAGATTTTTAATCAATCATAATCAAGGCAATTTCTTATTTTTTTTCGTTAAAACATATCATTTTAATGTAAATACTTTCGAAGTTATCTCAAATAGATGTTAAAAAGTGTTGAATTTGTCCAAGGTCGTCTTTGAGGTTAATTCCATTTTCTTTAACCCCAATAAAAACTTATTATTTAGTTAGCCATAAAGGGAAAGTAGCTTCCCATTAAAGCATCAAAAAGACTATTTTGAAAAGATCAAAATGCCTCTAGTTAGTTATAAAATGACCAAAATACCCTTATACGTGAAAATTTCTAAACCGCCCACACATGTGCACTACATACATTGCCATTATTCAACCATTATTGGTGGCTATACTCGGCAACCTTCAAGTATGTGGACTAGCACGCGAGCTAGAGGAGGTCTCATTCTATGTGTTTGTTGTGGTGGCGGTAGTCGTCATTGATGGAGAAAGGAGATTGACATTGGTGAAGTTTTGGCCTTCTATGTCTTTTTTCTTATATAGATTTTGGTGAGGGTAATGGGTTTTGAGGCTTAAAATCCATCCGGAGAAGTTCTTAGTGAAAGATCATGAATCCTATGGAGGTACGAAATAAATAAAAATTTTCCTCCATCTAAAAGGTTCAAAATCATGTCGTTGAATCAACTAACTATATATACATGAATTAAAGTAATAAATAAAGAATTACCTCCTGTAGCATAGATCTAAAGTAATGAATAGAGAATTACCTCTTGTATTGTAGATATATATATATATATATATATATATAATCAAAATTTATCGAAATCAATTATATTCTAGTTTTTATTTAAATCTATTTACTTCGATATAATTAATGCAATTTAGGTGGGGTTTATTTATTTATTTATTTATTTTATATAATCTAAATACGCAAGTACGATATATGTATATATAGTTTTGTTATAAATTAATTATATCCGCACACATAACATCAATTATTTGTTATTTATTTTTTTGGTATTCTAAAATCTATATTTTTAAATGAAATAATTTAATTAATGTTTTGAAAGAATCTCTTAATTATTTAAATACAAATTTTTATATTAATATTATAAATTATTTTGTTTATAAATATATATAAATCAAACAAGTTTATTGAATATATAGATTTGATTTACATTAATCTTAAAAAACAAAGCGTCTACTCCCATTATACCATATGAATAGTTAATCTTGTGTATATAATGATTGTTTTACCGCGAGTGTAGGGCGTGTATCTAACTAGTATCTTCTAATCCTTCTACGGTAAGTACTTCCACTCCAATAGCAAAATGCAATAATCCATCTCTTAATCATATAACGTAAAACCTTGTGTTAGATAAATAATGCAACAACATATACAAGGATGATTCCATATCATCTAATAATAGTAAAATTTATTAATGCTAGAATCACATTGTGTTATATCTAATTTTTAGGGAAAAAACAAAATGGAAAGTAGTTTACTTATATGGTATTCTGCATTTGGAAAATATGATATTTTTCTATTGTACAAATATAGTATGACATCATTATTTGGAAAATACACCCAATTTCTAGATATTTTATAAATTTTGTTGTATAGAAACAACACCTATATGATATAATTTACTTTTGTTGTATATATACTTTTTCGACTCTATATATGCTCTAAAACTTGTATGGAAATAGATTATATTATTTGTAGATATGTTCAAAAAAACTTATTTTAGGAAAAAAAGTTGT